AGAGATAAATGAATAAAATAAAGGTCTATCAACAACTAAAAAAAAAAAATTTAAAAAGAAATAAAGGCGGGATGTGACTCAGTGGTAGAGTGTCTGCTACCACGTGCAAGACACTGGATTCCATTTTCAGCACTGCATAAAATAAGCTAAAAAATATTTTAATAATTTTTTTTTTGGTACTGAGGATTGAACTCAACTGAGCCATAACCCCAGTCCATTTTTGTATTTTATTTAGAGACGGGGTCTCACTGAGTTGCTTACCACCTCACCATTGCTGTGGCTGGCTTTGAACATTTGCTCCTCCCAAGCCGCTGGGATTACAGGCATGCGCCACTGTGCCTAGCTAATAAATAAAAAATTTATAAGGGCTGGGGATATGATTCAGTGGTAAAGCATACCTGGGTTAAACCCCTAGTACAAAAATAAAATAGTATTTAATAAATACAACATAAAAGTTTTAAAATTTAGCCATTATCTTATGCCTGTCAGTTTGTGTATACACATGTACTTCATTTTCTTCCCTGCAAAGTTAGTATTTTAGTCTTTTCCAAATTCATACTTCAGATCACCTTCTGAAAGTATTAAAGCAAATTTATAAAATTAGATACATTAATTTACTGGGCTGAAATTTCACTTACCAGAATCAGTTTAAAGACAAGAAACTTTAAAATTATTTCGTAGGGCTGGGGATGGATGTAGCTCAATGGCAGAGTGCTTGCCTGAAGTGTGCAAGGCCCTGGGTTCAATCCCTACAACTGCTTAAATAAATAGTAATGCTATTCCTTTGACCAAGTTATAAAACAATTATGAAAAGTCCATTTATATGGATTTTCAATGTTTGCTTGCACTTAACTGATTCCAAAATTTGCTCAGCTTAAATACTTGTCATAAATGTTCTTCCTGTACCAGGGTTCAAATTCAGACCATTTTATAGGAAGATTAAGAGTAATTACAGTATTTAAAATGTACTCATCCACCTTGAATTGCAATGTTTAATGATTTCATTATAATTCAAAATTGTGTAAACCAGAATAAAAATGAAGTATGCATGATGCTGTATAAAGATCTAAAGTACAGGGGCTGGGGTTGTGGCTCAGTTGTAGAGTGCTCACCTCAGCATGCCTAAGGCACTAGGTTCAATCCTCAGCACCATATAAAAATTAAAAAAATAAAGGCATTCTGTCCATCTACAACTACAAAAAAAAAAAATCTAAAGTACACAGAAGAGCAACCCTTCTACATAGTCTAAAAACACCTATAGAAGGGATTCTTAAAATTGTGTTATCAATTATTATGCAGTTAGGCAGGAGGAAAAATAAAATTTATTCAATATAGCTCATTAACTGAAATAGCAATAAAAAATTATTACTGGCCTATATTCAAAGAATTGGTAGTCCAAATGGTTTTTAAACACTATTTTTTCCCTAACAAGACATTTATTAAGGAGTTCATTCAAAACGTGCCCCCCATTTTGCACCCACCAGCAGAATAAGCTGTTAAGGCTTTGGGGTTCTCACTTTCTTTTTTTTAGTTGTAGGTGGACACAATACCTTCATTTTATTTTATTTGTATGTGATGCTGAGGATCAAAACCAGGGCCTCACATATGCTTAGGCAAACGCTCTACTGCTGAGCCACAACCCTACAACCCAATCCCTGAGGCTTTGAGCCACAACCCCACAACCCAAGCCCTGAGGCTTTAGGGTTCTTACAACTCAAAAGTTTCTCAGAACAGACTCATTCTGGTGTTGATATATTCAGTGAGCCAAAAATGACTATCAAAACCTCCACCAAGCTGTGCGCACTAGCATACAACTGAAATCCCTGCAGGTCAGGAAGGCTGAGGCAGGAGGAGCTGGAGTTCAAAGCTAGCCTCAGCAAAAGTGAGGCGCTAAGCAACTCAGTAAGACCCTGTCTCTAAATAAAATACCAAATAGGGCTGGGGATGTGGTTCAGTGGCCAAGTGCCCCCGAAGTTCAATCCTAGTACCCCTGTTTCAAAAAAACCCCACCACCCATAGAGCCAATCTTGACAAGTGAAGATAGGTGAGGAACGGACAAGAACAGCAACTGCCATACAAGCCCAAAAATAGTGTATGTGAATATCTTTACTCCCTTTTCCCCTGCCAAAAATGAAGGAAGTATTCATTTTCCCCCTCTATTGTCCTTACTTTCCTATAATAGTATGTTTCATATATGGGAAGGCAAGGCAAGACTGGTTTCTGGAGATAAGAGACTTGCTTAACGTGGCTACAAATGATTCAAAAAACTATTTCTTAAGGACTACTGACTTATAAGGGAGGGGATGTTAGATTTAATCAAAGCCCTAGCCCCAAACTTCAATATCATTTATATGCAATCCTAAAATCATTTCATTCCTGAATACAGCTTAGCTTTTTCTGGAGTACCATTAGTTAATCTATTAATTTCAATTCTCCAGGTTAGAATTAAATGAGAATGAAGTTTAAGCACTAGGTTCTACACGATGCAAAATAATAAAAGATAAGCCTAGGGCAGTAACAAAGGGAAGGGGCTAATGGAGAACCAACATTTATAACCAAGTACCCAAAATCTAAATTATTACAATGCACTCTCACTCCCCACACCTGATAAGTTCTGTAGTAGCTAGTTATTAGTACCCCTTCAAACAAAATAAATTATTGCAGTCAATCAAGTAGTGGACAGGGGCCGATTTCCAGTGACTGTCTTCCTCTACTACTTTTCCACTGAATCCCTTCCTTACGCCCTAAGTCACAGGAGTACCTTGTAAACCCTATATATCCTATTTTCTCTTCCCTGTTTAAACCCTGATAGGAACAAAACAAATATTTGGCTTTATCTTAAGAGTAGAATCCTATGAAGAGCTTTGGTCAAAAATACTCAGCACTCAAATCACAAAAATGATGATCATTAAATCTGTCATTTATTTAGAAGCTACTATTATCATGGGCTTCCAAATCAGTTTTTTAAAGGAGTTAAAAAAAATAAATAGTGGAGGGGAAAAAAAGAAACTTCTCCTACCTGCTTTTCGGTTACTATATCAAGTTTATTCAGAGCCTAAATCCCCCAAAATCAGAAATCGTGCAAATATAACTTCAAGTTTCCTCCCAAGGGCAGGAGATTACCAAGGGAACCTATGTGCAGCATGGGAGGGGGGGGCGCAGTGGGACTTCCATACAAGCACACCTACACTTGTTTCATTTTTAAACACTTTGAAATAAAGACAAAGCTGACCTTGAGCTGTACTTCCCCATCTTATTCCCCTCCTCCTGCCAACAGGGACTTGTTCAATATAAACAGCAATTTAAAAATCCACAACACAAAATTTCAATCAGCTCACTTTCCTAAATTTGAGTTTTGGACCTTTTCTCCTTTTCAAATTCCAGAACGCTAATTTCTGATGATATACACCTGGACTGACCCTAAAGTTATTCACATGACCAAATTGGCATTCAAAGGGGAGGCACTACATAATATTTTGAAAAGTGTAAAGTGGCTTAAATATTAAGAAAACCCTAAGAATAAACGGTTCATCCCACCTCTCCTCACAAAAGCATTAAAACCCGTAGCCACATTTTTTTTTTTTTTTTACCTTTTTAGTGCTAGTTTAACAGAGGTGGGGATAACTCAAGTATCTAGATCCCAAACGTAGTGGACCATTGGGAGGTGGGATTAAAAAATAAAACTGCTATAACTGAGTAGACAGACACAATAAAGTTCTAAAACAGGACGGAAAAAAAAAATCAAATGAATAGGGGGGTGGGGGTGTTAGCTCAGTGGTAGAGAATGCTGGATTTGATTCCCAGCACCAACCCTCTCAAAACCAAATGAACAAAGAAATTTGTGGGTAAAATCATGTACTTAAAATGAAAACAAGAAAATAGTAGGATCTCCTACATTCATAATCCCAAACCCCAAACCTCAGCTGACTGCCTGGAATACGTTGAGATCCCAACACGAAGTAGGAACACGCATTCCAAGCCTGGGGAGTCAACCAAAATCCAATTACCGAACATTATTTGAAATAACGTTATTTCTCCACAGGTCTTTCCATGTGTCATAATGGTGCGTACAGTTAAGTCAACATTTTTACAAATGGGTAGACGGAGGCACGGGCGTTACAAAGACTAGAACTAAGAAGTCATGGTCCCCTTGTCTCCTGTTCTATCCATCAGAACCTAGTGCTCATCAAGCCTGAAAAATACTACAGAAACTTCGGCCTCTGCCATTTAGTCCGAGGGAAGGGTGCACGAGTGAGGTTTTTCAGGACATCTCCCAAAAGCCGAGGCTGAAAAGCCCAAAACCCCACACTGCAAGGTGTGCCGGCCTAAGGCAAGAAATCGGATTGCACCATCTCGGTTGCCTCCACCCAAGGATGATCTGCTGTGATTCCCACTCTCCCACAAGACTACCCACCACAGTAAGCCTAAAGAAGCCCTCCGCTCGGAAGGATTCTCCTTTGTGAGACTCCACAGCCGCCGCCCCACACTGGGCCTCCGGGGAAAAGCCACCGCCCCCACCCGCCATATTTCCCTGAAAGGCGCCCGCGCTACAGCTCCCAGTCTCCGCTCTCTCCCCCATGTGGCGGGTGTTTCTTCCCCCTTCATCCCACCCAATTGCTCATCATATCTCAAGGCTGTCCCAGAAGCTCCCTTGGGGATTGCTCGCCCGGAGACAGCACCCGCCATCTCCTCCCCCCCCCCCCCCCCGGGGCCCCCCCCCCCCCCCCCCCCAGCCGCCATTTTACAACCAACACCTCCACCCTATCACCTCGGCCTCCCGCCTCAAGAGTGTCTACAGCTGAGGACACAGACGGGGTCAAGTCCCTGGGCCTGGGGCCTCCCATAGCTCCAGGAGCGCACAGGCCATTTCCTACTTCCCGAATCCACGTCCCCAGGCCAAGCTCGGAGACGATGCCGCCATTTTGTCTCCTGCTCCCGGCCTCTGTGGGCGGCGGCAGAGGGTCCGAGAATTCCAGTTCCCCGTTGCCCCCCCAACTCACCGTCGTATCGCTCAGCCTGCTCGGCCAGCTTCGCCTGATACACCAGATCCTCCCGATCATCCATAGCGGCAGCGGCTCCGGAAGGGTCTGCGCGACGGATGGAAGCGGATAGCGTCTCCGACTCTCTCTGCCTCTCGCTCCGCGTCCGGGCAGCAAAAAATGGCGGCGCCTCAATCCGGGACTTCCGCCTGCGCACGCGGACAACTGCTCAGCTCTATGGCAACCGCTCCCTGGCAACTGGCGCGGGGGGCGGGTCCTGGAGCTCCGCGCCAGAAGAGGCTGGAACCAGTGAAAAGTTCCTCCTCCGTGAGCTCAGCGGGCTTTCCAGCACCAAGGCGGGAACTGCAACTTCGGTAAGGGAGAACCCTCCCGAGGGAGCGAGGGAGGTTGGAGACAAGGTTGGCCTAGGCTGCGCCTGAAGAGAAGGAGCGAAAGAGCCTTGACCACGATAGAGGGCCGAGTCCTGGCCTGCGGGAAGAGAAAGCGAGAGGCTATAATGATTTTTGGTAAAGGCAGGCCTTTCTCACTGAAATCAACTTACTCTGCTCTATCTTGCCCCTTTCTCAGGCAAGCCTAATTCCTGGGACATTTTGAACCTATTTAAACCTGGGGTAAAAAAAAAAAATGGGCCTCTGGATGAGGATATAGCTAAGTGATAGAGCACTTGCCCAGTAGGCATGAGGCGCTAAGTTGGATGCCCAGCACTTTAGGAATCGCCATGGATAGTAGCAGGTAATTTCTTAGAAAGTGCCTGGTCTAGGATAAACGGAGCAAAAGAGTTGGACCAAGATCAAGTTCAAATTCGGGAAGCAGGAACAACTCTGAAAAGGAATTGCTTCACAGGTTAATGACCTTGTCTGTTTTGTTTCCCAATGGATTCCTAGCACCTTGTACTGTTGCCAAACTTGGGGGTGGGGATGACGGCGGCAGGTACAGATGTGAAATTAAAAATTGGAAGCAAATTATGAAAAACATTGTATGGCCAGGAGTGGAGTACACTTATCTAATCTTAGTGAATAGGGAGGCTGAGGCAGAAGGATTACAAATTCAAGGCCAACCTGGACAATTTAGCGAGAAATTGTTTCAAATTTTAAAAAATATAAGGTAGGGAGGAGAAGGCTTTGGATGACAAGATAAAGGTTTGCCTTGTATTGTGTGAGCACATGGTAGTTATTTTGTTTTGGTGCTAGGGACTGAACCCAAGTCATGGACCAAGCTTGCTTTGCCAGTGAGCTACACCCCCAGTCTAGGGAGCTATTTATTCTGATGATGTTGCATGAAGGATGACATTATCATGGTTGTACTTTAGAAAGACTAATAAGTGCCAAGCTTGCTGGTGCTCACCTGTAATCCCAGTGACTCAGGAGGCAGAGGCAAGAGGTTCCAAAGTTCAAGGCCAGCCTCAGCAATTTAGCAGGACCCTGTCTCAAAAAGTGTTTGGGATGTGGCTCCATAGTTTAGTAGTTAAGTGTCCCTTGGTTTAATCCCAGGTACCAAAAAAAAAAAACTAAGGGTCTGGGGATATAGCTCATTTGGTAGAGTGCTTGCCTTGCATGCACAAGGCCCTAATTCAATCCCCAACACTGCCAATAAATAAATAAATAACGAATAAGTATTGTATTGTCTAGCAATGATTAAAGAGGAGGGTAAATTATGGTAGCAGAGTGAATAGAAAGAAAAGGACAAATAGAAATGGCACTACATAGAAAAGTCACAAACATTTGTTTGCAGCTCAACAGATTTGGAGCTCTTTTTTTTAAAAAAAAAAATATTTATTTCTTAGTTTTCGGCAGATACAACATCTTTGTTTGTATGTGGTGCTGAGGATCGAACCCGGGCCGCACGCATGCCAGGCGAGCCCGCTACTGCTTGAGCCACATCCCCAGCCCAGATTTGGAGCTCTTTGGGGGAGAATTAAAAAAGAAGAAATGATTTCCTCTCTTCCCCCTCTAAGTCATTAACAGAATAATAGGAATGCTTGAAAGAGTTGCTGATATAATGCAAAGACATGAGTCTCATTTAGCACATGTCAGTTTTGAGGTCCCCAAGGATCACCTAGGTAGAAATAACTAGCATGTAATTGGAAAGAGAAACTAGCATTCAAACAAGGGAGACTAGCCTGATGCAATGAGGCGCACTTGGTGTCCCAATTGCTTGGGAGGCTTAAGTAGAATTTCTTGAGCCCAGGAATTCCAGCCTAGTCTGGGCAACATAATGATACCTTGTCATTACATCTTTATAAAAAGAGGCTGCCATGGAAGTGGCTAGAAAGTATGTGGAGATTTAAAAAAAAAAAAAAGACCAATGAGCCCAGCATGCATTGGCGCACTCCTGTAATCCCAGTGTTTCTGGCAGCTGAGGCAGGAGGATTGCAAGTTCAAAGGCAGCCTCAGCAGTGTATTGAGGCTCTAAGCAACTTGACAAAACTCTCTCTCTACATATAAAATGGTCTAGGGATGTGGCTCAGGGGTAAAGTGCCCCTGGGTTCAATCCTCAGTACCAAAAAAAAAAAAAAAAAAAGCAAAACATCAGAATATATCTATTTTTTTTTTAAGAGAGAATTTTTTAATATTTATTTTTTAGTTTTCGGCAGACACAACATCTTTGTTTGTATGTGGTGCTGAGGATCCAACCCGGGCCGCACGCATGCCAGGCGAGCGCGCTACCGCTTGAGCCACATCCCCAGCCCAGAATATACCTATTTTAAGAGACAGGTAAATGCTCTTAAAATCTAGCAGTTGAAGTCTTGATGTTTATTCCAAAGAACAAGAAAGTTGAAAACACAAGTTTCTACTCAGAGATGTGTTAGAACAGATTGATTTCATGGATTGAGTTTGACATGACTGAAGCCATCATGAGCTGTAACTGCCATGATCTCCCTTGTGAGACCCTGGTCAGTTTTCCAGCAACCATAAATAAAGCATTAGAGTGATAGGTGGAGCTTTATTACTGGACCTTGGTAACAGGTATGTTCCTGACAATAATATTAAGATAAATTTGGGGCTGGAGTTGTGGCTCAGTGGTAGAGCACTTGCCTGGCATGTGTGAGGCACTGGGTTCAATTCTCAGCACCAAATATAAATAAATAAATAAAATAAAGGTCCATTGACAACTAAAATATATATATACATATAATTTTTTTTAAAGAGAGAGAGAGGAGAGAAAGAGAATTTTAATATTTATTTTTTAGTTTTTGGCGGACACAACATCTTTGTTTGTATGTGATGCTGAGGATCGAACCCAGGCCGCACGCATGCCAGGCGAGCGCGCTAGCACTTGAGCCACATCCCCAGCCCTATACATATAAAATCTTTTAAAAAAAGATAAATTGGGTACATTTCAGCATAGATGAAATAACTTTCCTCCTGCCTAATATACCCTGTGGAAAGCAGTGATTTGAATCATGGTCTTTCTGGCTCCCTTGTGACTGCATTTGCACTGGGAACTTCCTATGGGAAGGTGTAGGTCAAGATGGCTCAGTTGCTATGGGGATGCCAGCCAGAAGAAACTCTCTGTAAAGGCGCAATTATTTCAGTCGGGACCTTGAGCTCAAGTACCAACTCCCAGGGATAGAGAATTCTGAGCATAACAAGATAACTCTAATGTCTTACTAGTCCTGCATCCTTCAGATTGCCTGTTTTGCTAAAACTTTCCCACAAATAACCTTTTGATGAACCTCTATAATAAATATGCTGAGCTTTAAAAAAATGAATAAATAAATTAAAAAGAGGAAGGTAAAAACAGAAAAGCCAGACAAGAAGATTGACTGGCTCCCTATTCCATTCTTACCATAATTTATCAAATTTCAGTGGTAAAAGACTAAGAGTCAAGGAGGCACACTGGCACATGCCTATAATTCCAGCTACTTGGGAGGCTGAAGCAGGAGGATCTCAAATTTGAGGTCATCCTCTGCAATTTAGCAAGACCCTATCTCAAAAAATTTTTTGGTAGAGGATTAAACCCAGGGGTACTCAACCACTGAGCCACATGTGCCCCAGCCCTTTTTTGTATATTTTATTTACAGACAGGGTCTTGCTGAGTTGCTAAGTGCCTCGATAAATTGCTGAGGCTGGCTTTGAACTCAAAATCCTCCTACCTCAGCCTCCCTAGCCACTGGAATTACAGGTGTACGCCACTGCACCTGGCCCTATATCAAAAATTTTTAAAAATGAAAAAAAATTTTTAAAAATCTTGAGATGTAGCCCAGTGGCAGAGCACTCCTGACTACTCTACAAAATAAAATTTAAAAATCCTCAGTACAAAAAAAGAAACCATGAGTAAAAAGACTTGGGCACACACACACATATTTATTCTCTCTCGCTCTCTCTTTGTGTGTGTGTGTATGTAGTGCTAGGGATTGAACCCAAGGCCTTGTGCATGCTCTACAGAACTAATAGATATATATGCGTGCGCGCACACACACACACACATATATATAAATGTTTTATATATATATATATATATATATAGAGAGAGAGAGAGAGAGAGAGAGAGAGAGAGAATTGTGGAAATTGGCTCAAGCAATTGTGGAGGATGAAAAATCCTGTGATACACATCTGCAAAGTGGAAACACAGGAAATTTAATAATATAACCTGAGGAATCTGAATGCCTCAGAACCAGAAGTTCTCATGTCCAAGGGCAGAACATGGACATCCCAGCTCAAATGAAATTTACCCTTCCTCTACTTTTTATTTCATCTGGCCCTTCAACAAATTGGATGATTACCACCTATATTGTTGAAAGTAGATCTTTACTCAGTCTACTGATTCAAATTCTCATCCCTTCCAGAAACACCCTTACAGACACACCAGAAATAGTATTTTATCAGCTATCTGGGCATCCCAACATCTAGTCAAGTTGATGGGCATAATTAACCATCACAGGGCTGGGGGTATACTTAGTGGTCGAGCACTTGCCTAGCATGAGCAAGGCCCTAGGTTTTATTACCAAATCAACACAAATAATATGCCAACAAATTTCATAGCAAATGAAATGAATAAATTCCTAAAAACAAACCATCGAAATTGACTTAAACAAGTAGAGGGCTAGGGTTGTGGCTCAGTGGTAGAGCGCTTGCCTAGCATGTGTGAGATACTGGGTTCGATTCTCAGCACCATATATCAATAAATAAAATAAAGTTCCATTGACAACTAAAAAATATATATTTTTTAAAAAATAGAAGAAACAAATAGAGGGGGGATTGTGGCTCAGTGGCAGAGGCACTGGGTTCGATCCTTAGCATCAAATGAAAATAAATAAATAATTTGCATGAAGGTGTTGTGTCCATCTACAATTAAAAAAAAAAGAAGAAACAAATAGAAAGTCTGAATAGACATAGCAAGAAGGTTGAATTAGTAATCAAAAACCTCCCAATATGTTCAATGTCATTGACTGTACTCTTAAAAATAGGTAAATGGTAAATTTTTTTGTTATATGTATCTTACTATGGGGGGATAAAAAAAGCAGG